GGGGGGGGCAACCAACTATTATAGATTGGTTCCTATCAGGCGAAACTTTCTTATAGAACCTAGATTTCTTCTACTCACTTTCTCTACCCACACACTGAATGATGAAGAATGGAGTTGGAACAAGTAATAAGGATGCAATAGTAAACGTCCAACCTCATCATCACAACTCACAAGGAATAAAGGTGACTTTTATCCCGTTTTAATCATAACATGCTTGTTATTCACTTCTAATTACGATCCATATATTAAATATTGGCCAACAACCAAATCTCAGAAAGTCGGAATAGAATGCGACCCGTACGCGTAAATAACTAAGGTGAGCTGAACAACAGAACGATTTTCAGTTTTTCAATATGAATAATGCTGAAAAGAAGATTAGGGTAAATCACAGACTTGCCACCCTGTACTTTGGGGGTGTTGATACTTGTAAAAAAATTGGGGAGTTGTTTGGCAAGTCTTTTGTGCTTTTCAAAGTTTGGAAGATTAAAATTTGGTTTTTTTTTTTTTTTCTATTTGGTAGTGAAACAGAAAGCCAGAGAGAGCTGTGTCCTACAAAGCTGATAGAAGACTAAAATGGCCAACAATATAGAAGCTTCAAGAGAAACTTATTGTCTTTCTGCACCCAAAATCTTTCATTTAACAGTAATATTATAGATCAAAGTAAAGTATTAAGATACTTGATTACCAAACGGTCTAAATATTTGACGGCAAGACCCCAAAAACTCATTACATATTTTGAACCATCTAGGCCAAGGTCAGTTTGGGGTTTCAAACAGTTATCTATATATCCTATTTTAGCACTCCACATTTAAAGATACCATTCATAACAGCTGAAACGGCTGAAACGGCTGAAGTGAATGACTTCTTTGTTTTTAATGAAGTTACGAGATCCTTAGTAGCTGAAGCTGAAGTTGGGTTAATTATTATACGATTGAATAGTTTTATTATTTGAGTATTTTATCCATTAAAAGACAAAATAATAAGTCATTTGCAACTAATACTGTGAAATAGGACAAAACAATAAATCATTTACAACTATTATGTATAATTTTGTTTTTAAGCTCATAGAAATATGAAAAAAAAAACAGACAATTATTATAATACAATATTTTAAGAAAAGAAAAAAAAATCTCCTAATAACTCAGTCTACATGTAGGAAAAGAATACCAAATTAATCCCAACAAAATAGAATTTGCAATGATTCGGATATTATGAAAGATGCTATTTGTAAAAAGAAAAAGAAAAGAAATTAATGAAAAATCACCTAAAAGATAGGTAAATAAGTGTGGCTGTCCTTGATTTGCGCCTGTGAATATGAAGTGGACCCAAAGCAATTAAAGAAGGGAAAGAGAAACAACGTAACATCTTACAGGTTTGTCAAAATATCTAAGTGCACATGCATGCATGCAATTTCCATACTGTAACTGTGGAAATGTCTACGTTGCATTATAAACTCCTACACAGAGTAAGTAATTGATACTAGTAGCAACATCTTAATTCCTAACTGGACCAAAATTGGATCATGGATTGCTACATTTTGCAATGACCAAATAGTAGCAACATCTCACAAGCAAAAGCCTTAAAGCCATCACCCTTTGGATGTGCATAAAAGCTCAGCTTTAAGTTTTGTCCTTTCACAATTATATTCTAAGCCTAAGGTGTGGAAAAGAAAGAGTTGCATTTAAACATCAAAGAAAAGGTCCACAGCAAATGGGACAGCTAAGACTGATCACCTTGACAACATTGCGGGTGGTTGACATGGGCAATCCCTCTGAAGGGATCCTTTCAGTTTCAGTTGTGACTTGTGAGAGTCCATTACACTTTGCTAAATGAACGTGCAAAACATGCATTGCAGTTTGCAGATGCAGCCCATGGGATGGGATGGGCGGATGGGGACTACACCTTCCTCTATGCCTCTATCCATACCGTAGCTACTCTCCAATTAAAAGAGGTTTCAATTTCCTCCCTCCTCAGCTTCTAGCGTTTTTACTTTTACCCAACAAACGGGGACTTCACTTCTACTTTTGACTTTTACAGTGTTGTAAATTGCATGGCATCGAAGCAACTCTCAATGGTTGGACTTGGACGGATATATACTGTACTACAGTGGGCCCTGGTCCCTGGGTGTTTCCATTCATTAGGAAACAGATAGCCTGTTATGGGGTCCATTCTTAAATCTGAACTACCAGTGCTTATTGAGAAAACTTTGGCTGTTTGGGACATAGACCAGTCACAACAGAAAAAAAAAAAAAAAATGGGGGAAGCAAACTGTAGCCCCAGACCAGCAGGTCCAGACCCATCCAACCTAAACGAAGTCGGACAACAACACAAGCTGAGTGATTGACCATCATACATAGTCCAGAGGGCCAGAGGAAGAAGAGAATCCCATGTGTCGTTTCTTTTTTTTTTTTAACTAATATAAACAAATAGAAAAAGAATAAAAAAGTAAGGTTGGGATCGCGTTGATACAAGTGGGGCCATGTGTACGGTAAAGAAATGCAGAACAAATCGTGTGTCTAGTCAAGTCTACACCACCACAAACCTTAAATTAAATTAACAAAACGAGTTACGAGATAAATATTATGGGCTAACAGCCATGGGCCTCTTTTCAGTTTTCCCTTAGGCCTAAAATATACTGCAAGTTAAGTTTTAACTAAAACGCACGTTAACGGCCGATTAAGTCTTACAACGATGACGATGACGACGACGACGACATCCACCGGTAGAAAAGAAAGAAAGAAAGAAAAGCAAGACATTAGTAATGAGGTTCAACTCCAACAAGAAAAGCAAAGGTGGAGAGAGAGAGAGAGAGATTGGTTCCTTCCATCGTCCATGACCCTCCACCTTTTAATCATATAAATAAAAGCCTCGTCTGCATGCTTCCCTTAAAAAGGAAGGGATGACTAAAACCAATATAGCAGGCAGCACAACAAAACAAACTGATTCCTCCATTCACTAAAGAATCTCAACCTCATCCATTCATCACATATCATCAGTTTTAATAGAAGGGGATTCAGGGAGGGCTTCACCCTGCTCTACCACCACCGAAACACACCATTTATCCCGACAAAGATCAACGAAAGTGCATTGCCGAATCACCAAAAAGAAAGGAAAGAATATTGAAAAGTGAAAGAAACCAACTTCAACCACTTGATATCATAGAGAGGTGCCACTGCACGCACTCACAGACTACAGTGTATAGTTCACTTCCAAATGATTAAAAAAAAAAAACAATACTTAATACAAAGAAAAATTAATTGAAAAAGAATTTCCAAACAGGAGCAACAAAATACCACTAAATATAAATGGAATGATAGAAGAGCCAAGCTCAAGTAGATTAAATCTTTATGCCAAATCTATTATTAATGATAATAATAAATAACTCAAACATACAAACAACCGACTAATGTAGATAAATTAAGAACAAGATATTAAAATGCAATACAGAATATTTATGCCAAACTTTTATTACTAATTTGTGGTCATTCCAAATAAAGTATATGAGAAACACATACTATTATAAACTTAAAATTGCATTAATAACTCCTGTGGTTTCCTTAATTTGAACTATGCCAACCCCTCGTTCAAAATCCTCCTAAAACGCTTTTCACCAAATTCTTTTGTCCACAATGAGAAATGAGAGGAACACATATATAAAGTGGGAAATGTCCAAATCCTACCACACCCATTAATCATGAACCGCGAATTAACATCCAGAACAACTAAAAGAGAAGCGGAACGGAGAACCAACTGAAAAATGAGAGATAATCCCATACCCAAAATAAATTGAATTCCCAAATAAATTGCTTTTTTTTTACTTCTTTTAACTTCTCCCGGAACTGAACAAAGTGTTTGTTAATCATCTAAAAAAGGAAAAAATAGAAAGAAAGAAAAAGAAAAAAAAAGGCACTAGTCCCTCTCTTCCTAATATTTTCTGAACAACAACAAGGAAAAGAAGAGGTCAAGAAGAAAGATTAAGATGAAGAAGAAGAACCATTAGTGGCAACATGATGAGCACTATTATCATTGTGGTGACTGTGACTGTGGTTCTCGTTGGCGTCAACGCTACTTCTATTGCCATTTGCATCTCTCTTTCCAAAAGTATGCTTGTTGTTATGCATCCAAACCTTCAACACACCTTTCCCCACCCCAATCTCATTGCAGAACTCATCAACCACCTCTTCGTCGCTCTTCTGCATCTTCCATCCGAGCCTCTCTGAGAACGCATACATCTTCTCCTTCTGTTCCTGACTAAATTTCGTGCGAAACCGCTTTCTCCCATTTGGGTTTGGCGTCACAATCGCTGTTGTTGCTGCAGCAGTTGTGTTCACATGATTTTCCGGCGCTCCAGATAGGCCGGTGCTCAGTGCCAACAACATATGAGGTGCAGATGGATAGTACGAAGATGAGAGAGGAGGTGGGGAGGCTGAATTCGGGCTCCTACAGCGAGCTACAATTGGCTGGTGTGGAGTGTGCTGCTGGTGCTGGTGATGGTAGTCCAACGTATGGGCACCCTCGTCAGGTTCACGGCGGTGGAAGTTGCGATGGCATCCACACGCGGCGCACTTTAGGGAAGTTGGGTCGGTGGGCGTAGCGGAGGGGGAGGGCATAAACTCTCCGCACCCGTCCACGGCATGGCCCCCTAAACTTGCCGCATGGTTTTTGAGACATTCCTTGTAAGTAATGACCGCGGATGGGGTGTGGTTCTGGTGGTGCCGCTTGAGTACGCCGTTGCCGAAGGATAAGGGCTTGGAAATGTGGTGGTCGGTGAGCTTGGTGGGTTGGGTCGGAGATGGTGTATCGGCGTCGGCTTCTTGTGGTCTCCGGCTACTGTTGGGGGTTATTGCGGTGGCGGTCAAGTCCATGGTTGGAACATTTAGGGGTCGGAATCTTAAGCTGGAGAGGACGCTTTCAGGAACCGTGTTTTGGTGGGATTAAGGAGGGCCTTTTCCATGGGAACGGTCGGAAGGTGGAGAACAGATGAGAGAGGGGGATAGGATGGTGGGCAACAGCGAGCGACCGCGCGCGCGAGAGAGAGAGAGAGAGGAATCGCCGG